CCTCCCAAGTAGCTGGGACCACAGGCGCCCGCCACAACGCCCGGCTATTTTTTGGTTGCAGCCGTCATTGTTTGGCGGGTCCGGGCTGGGGATTCGAACCCGCCACCTTAGGTGTAGGTGGCTGGCGCCTTAGCTGGGTGAACTATAGGCGCCTAGCCCACAGCACCCTTCTTGACAGGGACCCAAAGATGTCACACACCACAGAAGGAAGCCTTGTGAGCTGCTGGCTAGGGAGCTCAGGTTCCCAAGGCTGCCCACGGTTTCTCTGGGCCCCTGGCACACAGCCACCCAGACCAAAGTCACTGTGCTCCTGTGCCCTCTGTGTTTTCAGAGTCTGGGAGCTGCCAAGGCATGGCACTGCTGATGGCCAGGGTGTCCCAATTCCTCGGGAACCCTCAGTTCCCGGGGAATTGAGGGACAATCCCAAGGGCCCCAATATGTTCAGAGCACCCTGTCATTCAGAAGGACCAAAGGGCCCTCCCAGAGTACTGGCTGGCAGGACCTGCCAGCGTGCAGGGTGTCTCCAGGACTCAAGGCACATCTCCAGAATTAAGGGGACTCAGACATGGAAGTCAGAGGACTCTGTGTCTAGGAACCTTGAGATTGACCTGGAACTCTACACACTTAGGGGGTCTTGGGAACCTGAGCCACAAGGGCACGGGGCAGCTAAAGGAACACATCAGATTTCAGAAAGGGAGGGTTGGCCTGGGGACACCAAGACTGGTGGGCAGAGATGGCCCCAAGACCCCCATGTCTGGGCTGCATGAATTGGAGTCACCTGAGTCTGAGGACCTCCTCTCTTTCCCCAGGGTGCTAGAGTCTCACCTGCCAGCCTGGTCAGGGACGAAACCTCGAATTCTGAGCACAGTACCTGGGCGAATGCCCTCGGGCAGCGTGGTCTTGTGGGGGATGTTCTGCAAGAGCAGAGTGTGGGCACATCTTGAATCTGGGAGATGGAAGACCATCACCCCACAGAGGGGCCAACCAGGACCCAGACCAGCAGAAAGCAGTGGAAGAGAAAAGGGGCAGTCACAGGAAGGAAAGACACAGGGAAAGACATGGGGAGAGGAACAAAGAAAAAGAGACAAAAAATGTTGGAGAGACCAAGAGAAAGCCACAAAGAGGGAGATGGGGACCGCTGGGATGAGCCCAGAACACCCCACAACATACTCCTGCCCCTTTCTCCATGGACAAGGCAGCTCTGTGCCAGGCCCCAGCGCCCTGCCCACATTGCCCAGCCTGGGCACCCAGAGCACTCACGGAACTTACCGACATGGCTGAGACAGGGACAGACAACAGTGCTGGTGGTGGGGAGACTGCTGGGGACTTTAATAAAGGCAGGCAGGGCGGGCCCTGATGACTCACCACCTCTTCCCACCCACCACCTACACCTGGCACAGACCCTGGCCCCAGGCAAGGCTGGTCAGGCTGGTGTACCACTCTCTTCCTGGGACCCTGGCCTTCCTGTCACTGAGGGT